TAGAGATGGCTCAGCAGTTAGGAGCACTGGCTGCTCTTACAGAGGACCTGGGTTCAAACCCTGGAACATAGTGGCTCACCATCACCATTAATACAGTTTCAGGTTTCCAATGTCCTGACACCTGAGAGCATCAGGCATACACAAGGTGCACATACACAAATGTAGGCACAACACTCATCCACACAAAATGAATATAAAAAAGTACAGTATTGCCAGGCATGCCTTTAATTCCAGCACTCCAGAGGCAGAGATAGGTGAATCTCTGTGAGTTCAAGGCCAGCCCGGTCTACAAGAGCTAGTTCCAGGATAGGCTCCAAAGCTACAGAGAAACCTATCTTGAAAAACAAAAACAAAACAAAACAAGCATAGTATTTAAATGAAATTAAGAGACCAAAGATAGGAATATACATTCAATACTTGAGACATTTATAACACCACTTCCATTAAAAGATAAACAAAATAACCACAGAAAAGGGAGTGCCTGTGGCTTTTATCTGCAATCATACCATGAGAGGAGCTGAGGCCAGAGAGCTGCCATAGTTTGAGGCTGGGCTACAGAGAAGTCCCTGCCTCAAAAACTCCAACCAAATAGCTTTGTTTTCTCTGAGTAAGAAGTTTTTGGCATGCCAAGCACTGTAGCCCATACCTTTAATCCCAGCACTAGGGAGGTGGAGCTAGAGGCAGAGGCAGAGGCAGGAGGATCTCTGGAAATTCCAGAGTAGCCAGGGAAATGCAGAGAGAGCCTGCTTCAAAACAACAACAACCAAGTCAATCCAGGGTTAATCTGTCCCCCCATCTATAGCACTCCCACACCATTCTTTCTGCCCTTCAGTTCTCTCTTTACAAGTCTCCCTCAAGTCCTTCTTGCATGTCTTCAGACCTCCAAAAAAGGCAAGTCAATCCAATACTTCCGATGTTTTCCATCATATTTTCTAAAAGTAAATACTTATTTTCACCTCCAGTATGGGAGTCTCTCAGTACTCAATGGACACTGACAAACTGTTGAGTTCCAAGAGTAAGAAAACAAGTATGTTTCCTGCAAAATCTTGGTTAATACAATCAATGCTTCAAAGCCTAAAATGATCCAAAAATACAACTGTGAATTGACTATTCTAAGTAGTTTCTTTTTTAAATTGTTTTTTGAAGATTTATTTATTTATTCTATTTTATATGTATGACTATAGTTAAAAGCAAAATATAAATGTCTAGACCATCACGTGTATGCTTAGTGTTCAAAGCCAGAAGAGGATATGGGATGCCCTGGAACTTGAGTTAAGGACGGCCGAGAGCCATCATGTAGGTGCTGGGAATAGAACCTGGGTCCTCTAAAGAGCAACAAGTACTCTTAGCTACTGAGCATCTCTTCAGCTTTCACTTATGGGTATATGCACGCGTACCTTTAGATGGATGTGTGTATGTGTGTCTGTGTGCTCAGCCATGTTCTTGGAGGTCAGAGGAGGGTTGGCTCCCATGAAACTGAAGTTACAGATGTTTACAATGGAGGTGCTGGAATCAACTCTAATTTGAATCAGAGTGACAAGCACTCTTGAATACTGAGCTATCTCTCCAGCCCCTTACATCGTTGGGTTTTTTCCCCATGCTTGTTTTTTTGTTTTTTTCGAGACAGGGTGTCTTTGTGGTCTTGGAGCCTGTCCTGGAACTAGCTCTTGTAGACCAGGCTGGCCTCGAACTCACAGAGATCTGCCTGCCTCTGCCTCCCAAGTGCTGGGATTCAAGGCGTGCGCCACCACTGCCCGGCTTTTCCATGCTTGTTAACCTCAGAAACCTGACTGATTATGGGACTCACAGCTTAATGAGGTATTAACAAGGGAACAGAAGATTTTCCACAGTATCCTGGGACCTCACTAGTCCTGGGCCCAGTCACCATTGCATTTTCCTTTAAGTGTATGGCATATTAAATGAAGGAATGTTTAAAAGATGAAAAGCATTCTGGTCTAGACATTTATATTTTGCTTTTAACTATAGAATATTGTCTTCAAAATAAAACTTATGTAGAAAGCTGGGGGCAGGGCACAAGTCTGTTATCCCAGCACCAGGGAAGCTGGGTAGGAGGACTGCCCGGAATCTAAAGTCAGCATAGGCTACATTGGGAGCTCCAAGCCATCATGGCTGCAGAGAGATTCTGTCTCATTCTTCCAAAACAAAACAGTAACAACAAAAAAGCATAAAGTGTCTTTGCCCAGCTATCAAGGCAGAACAGGTGCATAACTAAGAGCTGAGTCCAACTACTTTTCCTACTACAGGTGAGGAAATGAGGCCTTCAAATGTTAAGTTCCTTGTCCTATGTGACAAAGGTTTCAGGGATATCTAAGAGTAACTGTATATAGTTAAGCAGCTAGCACTAGAAATAAGGAATTTTTAATACAGAATCAATTTCTTAAAAAAAAAACTATGTCAATAAGAGTTGTTAATAACAGGTGTTTTATTTCACATCCCTATTCAAAGACAACTTTCCCCCAAACTAATGGCAAATAAATGACTTCAGATTCTTGTGGCACACTTCATCAGAGCTATACCTTTTGGCATGCTACACTGCAAGTATCCAAAATTATAGCTCCTCTGATATGGTTTTTTTTTTACTCTTTATGCAAAATTAGTCTTGATTAGAATTCAACTGTCTGAAAGCTGGAGAGAGCTCAGCAGTTAAGAGTTCTGGCTGCTCTTGTAGAGGACCCAGGTACAAGTCAGCACTCACATGGTGGTGGTGGCTCACACCTGTCTCTAACTCCCGTTCCAGAGGACTCAGCATACTCTCTGGCCTCTGTGGGACCCAGGCATACACACAATACATAGATATTAATGTAAGCAAATCGCTCATACACATAAAATAAAAACGAACCTTAAAAAAGAAAAGGATAGCAACTGTCTAATACGAGAACACTTGCAATAAAAATAATTTAAGAAAATACTGCTTCTGATAAGCATGGAAGATCCAACACCTTCTATTTCCAATTTTCTCCAAACAGCCCATTCTATCTAAACAAACCCCTTTTCTTACCTGTGAATTTGGCTGGAATGCAGCATGGGGTGTTGAGTGTTTCTGTAAATTTTCTAGCATTAGAGCCTGGCATAAAGAAGAGCAAAAATCAGAAACCAGGAGGGGGGACCAAAAAGCAGCCCAGATTTCTACCTCTCCCACAGCCTTTTCATTATGTTAAATCACTTAAATATACATTTATACCATACTCCTTTCATGGAGCTTAAAAGCCCTTTACTAATACTGTTCTCATGCATCTTCATGAGACCCTTAAAGGTAGCCATGGTTACCGCTCCCAAATATACAGATGTAAAATACAGGCACACAAAGAATCAGCGACCTGGCTATGTCATTAAAAAAAAAAAAAATCAGCAGAAGTGACAGAATCAGTACTAGAATCCCAATTATTGTCGGCAATTTTGATTAGGAGCCACTTTAAATCTGGTAATACGGGGCGGCGGGGTGGGGGTGGAGGGCTGCAATCCAAATACTCGAACAAGCTTTAAATTACACGAACCCGTGAGGCTGCTGATTAGGATCGGACTATTACTTGGTTAGTTATTCAGAACTAAAACTAATTGAACGGGCACAATTTTCAGCAGAGTGACATCCAGACTAATCAAATGTGTTAAAAATTCAAAAAAGAAATTGACCACAGACTTTGTCATCTGTGGCTTGGCTTAATCCACATCCACCCACAAACTGTCAGCTTCAGGATAAGCAACGGTCTGTCAACTCAAACCTTGAACTAACCTCGTCCCAATCCGCACCATCAGCCATGTACCCTAATGAAGTCTAACTACACGAGTCCATCTCCCCTTCCCTCCACCTACATCAAACCGATACACAATATGGTATCCCTCAGGACGAACCCATTCTCAGCTACTCAAACCGAAACGAAAATCCCTGCCTAATCTGTCTCACCTCTTACACTAATAGTCACCAAATTCTTATCCAGACTGCTTCTCGATTCCCTATAAATTAGACACCCGTTTTTCACCAAGTCCTTCCTTCTATCAAGGTTTCCCTTCATCCAAGGTCTTAATCTAATCAAGCGGACATTTTTACCCTAGCCCATGTGTATTATTGCAGCTAGAGACACCAACCCTATCCGCCCAACTGTACCCCTAACTCGGACCCTGCCCTACTCGCCCCCTTAAGGCCAGCCACACCAGTGGTTGTAGAGGGATTTAACTCCTTCTGTAGCGCATGCGCCGAAAACACAGACACAAACAAGGAGGGGGTGGGGAAAGAAGGAAGGAGCTTAAGACACTCCGGGAGAGTAGCGCGCACCCTCCCATTTTGGGCTCGCGCTGCTGCCGTTAAGGCGGGAACCGGCGTTATCTCTATTCCAGCGCAAGCCACACCAACCACCGTGCGCGTGGATCTGCAGGCTCGCGCTGGCGGCCTGAGAGAGCTCGCGCCGAGCCCGGACACTGCGCCTGCGCCGCGGCGGAGACTCGTCTCTACCGGGTCCGCTCCCCTCCGACACCTCGGCAACGCTGACTTCTCACCCCTTTGAGCCGCTTGACCAGGGCACTCTTCTGCCCGCTCTTGGCTAGGCCTCGCTGCTCCAGTGCGGCCTTCAGGTCGGTCACCCGCAGAGCCTGAAGAGGCTTCCCGTCCAGAGTCACCTCCTCCAGCTCCGCCATCTTGCGTGAGGTACTCGGGTCCGTCCCGACGGCTTCGGGCATCTTCGGTAATTTCCGCTAACGCCCTTCGAACGTACCGAATTGGCTCCGCCCACTGCCATAGTCTACCCCTCTATTACTGCTCAGAATTCCCCGGGTTCCTCCGGAACTGTTCGGTCGTTTCCGTCTCCACATCGGTACCAATCGGCTCTTTCTATTTGCCCAGCCGCCGCCCCCTCCCTTTTTGCGTTCAGGCTCGTTTGTTTTCGTCTTGCCGAGGCTTTGATCGAATCTATTCGGAAGCCCTCGAATCGGGTTTAACCATAATCGGAGATATTCGGCTATCTTCGGACCTGGGGAGGAGGCGCTGGGGCACTTGGGTGTTTGGGGCCGGTTTGAGACCGGAAGTACGTGGGTTACTGGGCTGGCTCTGCTTAGGGTTTTCAGGAAACATGGAAGAGACTGCGGGAGTTGGAGCTGAAAGACTCTAGTGATCTCTGGGCGCCCTTTGAGAGGAAAGGGGAGGTAACTAACAGGTAAAGAAGTCCCTCCTTGTCCAGATAAGATTTGGTGTCTGTCTGCAGGTTTCCTTTTGGGGAACCCTCCTGCTCCCGTGGCGAAACTCCTGTGGTCCCGCATCCTAGACATCCTCGCCACTCGGTCTGAGGAATACTTGCGGGCTTGCGGCTTCCAAACGTGGGAAAAAGTAGCTTCCCAGGCAGTAAACATATTAATGACATTAAATTTAAGTTTACTGTTGAAGCCATGTGGCAAGACCCTGGAAAAATTCCCTTTCCCCGAAAAAGAGAAGTTTTAGAAAGAACTTATCCCTTAGGGTCTCTTTGAAAATGGCAGTCACCCTGAACCGGGACTTGAACTGATCTTTAGGGATTCCTTTCTTTGTCGATACAAATCATCCAACTTGAAGCAGAAGGAACAGAAGTAATAATTTAGGTCATAGAGGGTTGAAGGTTTTCGTAGTTAGAGATACAAACTGTAGGACTTAAGCATTTTGGATGAAGTTGGCTAACACTTGATGCATGAGCACATATAGGTATAAACCAGTAAGGAAAACGGTTCAGAGATGCATGTGCACCAGTATTTCCCTTCCTTGGCTGCCTAAGTCAAGAAACCAAAGGGACCTTTTTCAGAACCTTGCAAGTGCAACTTCTGATTTATCAGCTATTACCTTCCTTGAGGCAAGGCCTTTACTCATCCTACACTGAATTTATTGGTGCTGTACAGAGTTTATTAAGGACGTCATAGAAAATAAAAACAATTCTGACAAAATTCAGAGGCTGTGTACACATTGCATAGGAGGCTTTTGGCTCACGGATGTCCCCACACTGTTGATAACTACAGAACAGTCTGGGAGCAGGTGCTTCTACCAAAGTTTATAAAACTATACACTTTGATTTTAGAGTGGATAAATGTGAACCTAACCTGAAACAGAAGTAGGAGAGATAGAACATGTATTTTTGTTTGTTTGTTTTGGTTTTCAGAATAGAGTTTCTCCGTGTTGCCTTGGCTGACCTGGAAGTCACTCTGTAGACCAGGCTGGCCTGGAACTCAGAGATCCGATCTGCCTGCTTGTGCCTTCCAAGTTCTGGGATTAAGGCTTGCCTCACCACTGACCAGCTTGCTTTTATTATTTTTAACTGAGTATCTGTGTCTGTCTGTGGGTGTATACGTGTCCCGCAGACGCTGAGTGTCTGTGTCTGTGGGTGTATGCGTGTCCCGCAGACACTGTGACTGTCTGGGTGTATGTGTGTCCCGCAGATGCTGGAGGCAGTGCTCTGAAAGGACAGGAAGTGCGTTTAAATGCTGAGCAGTCATCTCCCCAACCCCTCAGTTGGTTGTTTTAAGATTTGTAGTGGTGGCTGGAGATCCAACTGGTAGAGTGCTCTCTTAGCATGCCAGGAGCCCTGGCTTCTATTCCTAGCACCCTGGGAATGGTGTGGTGGGCTGTCACCGTTCAAGGCCATCTTTAGCTATGTGTTCAGCCTAGGCTACCCGAAAATTAGAAGGGATGTGGGGAGAGAGGCTGTGGGTGGATGTGTTGACATGCCTGTAATCTTTAACATCAACGCATGGAAGGCTGACGCAGGGAGCAAGATTTTTTTTCTAAGATTGCTTGAGGTAACCTGTAACAATGATTACTCTACTCTTGACCCAGAAACCTCTACCTCCAAATTATTCAAACCAAGAGGTTAGGTGTCTGTGTTCACATTAAAACACATGTGAAATTGCCCAAGCCATCAAGGCCTTATGTACCTAAAGAACTACCAAGTACCTGAAAGATGTCCCTTTAAGGAAACTGTCCTTTTGGCAGTATTACAGTAGAGTTGGTAAGAGTAGGGCTAGACTTGTGATTGGTGGTCCCCAAAAGTGCTGAAGTTTTGCTACACATGCTTGACAGACAATGCAGAACTACAAGCTTTGAAGTAGATTCTGTGGTCATTGACAATATCCAGAGCAGTGCACCCAAAATACGGTCAGATTAACCCACGTGTGAGCTTGCCTGTCTTGTCAAAAGGATCTTCACTTTTGAAAAGGAACTGTTCCCAAACTGGAGGTTGGGCTACAAAGAACAAAACCATCTCAGGAGAAACTAATGCTAACAAAAACTTCCAGCACGTGAAGAACTTTAGCATCAAATAAATGTAAAAAATGTTAATGAAATAAGCCAGGCGGTGGTGGCGCTTGCCTTTGATTCCTGCACTCGGGAGGCAGAGGCAGGCGGATCTCGGTGAATTCGAGATCAGCCTGGTCTACAAGAGCAGGGCAGACTCCAAAGCTACCGAGAAGCCCTGTCTTGAAAAACAAAAAAAAAAAAAGGAAAGAAAGAAGTGTCCTGTTGTTTTCCTCTAGACTGAATGAGTGGCTATCAATTGGGTGCACTAGGGTTTGCTGCCTAGGAGGTTATGTTTGGATTGCTCTCTGCTATAGACTGTATTAACTGGTTTGTTTGTTTCAGGATGCCACTGGAATCGTCATCTTCGTCAATGCCGCCATCCTTCCCTTCTGTATTACCTTCGGTGCCAGATGACATTACCGGCTCGTCCCCTCCTCCAATGTCTTACATCACGTCCCAGGAGATGAAGTGTATTCTTCACTGGTTTGCCAGTTGGTCGGGTCCCCAGCGGGAACGTTTTCTACAAGACCTGGTAGCTAAGGCAGTGCCTGGAAAGCTGCAGCCTCTGCTGGATGGTCTGGAGCAGCTTAGTGTGTCTGGGGCAAACCGGCCACCTTGTATCTTTGAGTGTCAGCTACGGCTTTGGGATCAGTGGTTTCGAGGTTGGGCTGACCAGGAGCGCAATGAATTTGTCAGACAGCTGGAGGTCAGTGAGCCAGATTTTGTGGCAAAGTTTTACCAAGAAGTAGCTGCCACTGCCGGTAAAGACTGATAGCCAGTCAGATCAAGAACATAACTATGTCTGATCAAGCCAAAGACCATGACTATAGTGACAACTGAGTGCAAGTATGTCACTTAGAGATTTGCCTGACTGCTGGGGTAGTGGTGTGCCCTTTTCTCCAGCACCAGGAGGCAGAGAGCCTAGCCCATGTATCAAGTTCCAGGACAGCCAGTGCTACAAAGAGACCCTGCCTCTGGGGAAGAACATTGTGTGAACTTCATGATGAATGCCAGCACTGTTTTTACCTTAGCGCTGCCACCTGGACTTTGTAACTGTCATCCATTAAGACAAATCTGGTTATGGCACGTACCTGCTTTAGCAGGAGATGTCCAAATTCAAGAATTTAATGACTTTTGTTACTATAATTAAATGAACCTGTATTTTATAACTCAGGCCTACTGCTGGCCCAGATAGCTGGTTTTACCACATTCACCCAACTCTAGTATAAAATGTGATGTCCCAAATATTGGATTTTCCAGTGATGACTTAATAAATTAAGGAAAATCAAGAGAAGAAAATAATTACTTGATCCTGTGCATTGTTTGACTCCAAAGAGCAATGAATGTTAGAGAAACATCAAATAGCAGCAATCTTTTCTAAAGCCTGTGTGATGCACTTAGGGCTGGTGGCAAACGTTCCTGTTCTGCCATTGGTCCACAACAGTCTGAAAATAACTGATGCTTCACAAATTAAACTGTTGATTTGTGGGGGAGTATCAAAGGAGAGTTCTTCACCATAAGACTCCACATTTTATATATGGCAAAACTATTGAAGAGTTGATATCCTGGCAAAGAGGCATTCTGAGGAAAGTAGAACAGGATTTACAATAAATAGATTTTTGTTTATTTTTAAGTGTGTGGGCCTTAATCCCAGCACTCAGGAGGCAGAGACAGGTAGATCTCCTGAGTTCAAGACCAGTCTGTTCTACAGAGTAAGTTCCAGGACACCAGGGTCTACACAGAGAAACCCTGTCTTGAAAAACGAAATAAAACAAAACAAAAAAAAAAACCAGTAGAAGCCGGGTGGGCGGTGGTGGTGCACGCCTTTAATCCCAGCACTCGGGAAGCAGAGGCAGGTGGATCTTTGTGAGTTCGAGGCCAGCCTGGTCTAGAAGAGCTAGTTCCAGGACAGGAACCAAAAAGCTACGGAGAAACCCTGTCTCGAAAATAGAAATGAATGAATGAATAAAACAAAAGCAGTAGAGGGGGCTGGAGAGATGGCTCAGCAGTTATGAGCATTGGCTGCACTGGCTGCTCTTCCAGTGGTCCTGAGTTCAATTCCCAACAGCCACATGGTGGCTCCCAGCCATCTGTAATGGGATCTGATGCCTTCTTCTAATATGCAGGCATACAGATAGAACACTCATACATAAATAGGTACTAAAATTAAGCAGTTCTGCATGTGTTCATATATGTCTGTATATGGGTACTTATGAGCTACATACAATGTGCACGCAGAAGTCAGGACAACTTGTAGGAGTTAGTCTTCTCTCGCCACTTTGTGGCTCCTTAAGAATCAAATTCAGGTAAGTGACTTTACCCATTGAGCCATTTTCATTTTGCTGGCTGGCATCACACCTGCACATGTATCTCTCATGATGATTAAGTGGTAGATGGTCCCACTTGGAGTGTAGCTCGTTTCTGATAAGCCATAGTTCCCAATGCACCCACCAGAATTAGCAACAGTAGGCAGAATCCCGTGGGTAGAAGTTGGTCAGTCACAGAGAGGTTATGGTCCGAGGAAGTCAACAGCCTAGGAACAGGAAAGGCACTGTTTGTCCTGCAGGAGTATTCAGGCATTATGGAATGGAAACCTGTTTGGATCAAGCACTAGGGCAAACAACCCAGTAAAAGCTGATGTTGAACCCAAAACATGGGTATGAAACCAAGGTCCAAGTCTCCAACAGCTTCAAGTACGGAAAGGAGACCCTAATGGTAATGACAAGCTTATGGAAAGCCACTGCTTAAGAGATCTGTGATGGCCCATGTTTACCATATGACCCAGTACTCCTGAGGCAGGAGGATCAGAAGTTGAAGATCATCCTCAGTAAGTTTGAGGCCAGCCTGATCCTAAATGAGATCTTGTCTTTAAAAACAAAAACAAAACCCTACAACTGGGGAAGCAGAAGCAGATGAATCTGTAAGTTCAAGGCTACCCTTGTCTACAAAGTAAGTTCTAGACCAACCAGGGCTATACAGTGAAACCCTGTCTCACCCTCCCCTGCCCCGACAAAAAACAAAACAAGGTAATTGAAATTCCTAAATTCTAGGGATTGAGTCCTATTACATTTGATGGATGCAAGGTGATGTAGCCTTGTCTAGAAAAAGGTATGCATAAATGCATGCCTAACAAATGTGAATTCAGGGGGCTGGAGAGATGGCTCAGTGGTTAAGAGCACTGTTCTTCCTAAGGCCCTGAGTTCAATTCCCAGCAACCACATGAGCTCACAACCATCTGTAGTGGGATCTTAGGCTCTCTTCTGGCATAAGGTTACACATGCAGATACATACAAATAAGGAAATCATAAAAACACAACCCCCAAACAAATGTGATTTCAAATATCTGAGAGCAGGGGCACGATCTTACTTGCTGTATTCTGTGGTAAAGATGACTTCTTCATAGTGGACTTGGAGGGGTTTCTCCTGAAGAGTCAGAGTCAGGGTCCTGTACAGTGTAGCAACGGAAGGCCCTCGGCAGCCTGGAGGCTTCCACATACTCACAGTGAACACCAGACTCGAGGTGATGGCTGGGCTGTGAAAATAGCACCTGAGCAGACAGTGAGATCACTTGATGGAGGAGGAGTGCTTGGAAGAACAGCTAGAGCTAAGTGTAGTTTCAGAGGGAGGAGAGCAGAGTGCAGAGGAGAGTACGGAAGAAAGGACCCAAGCATTCTCTATGGCCCATTGTCCCCTTTACCTGCTGGTGCCACCTCTTGTCACCAGAGCCTGCAGAACCACCTCAGCCAGCTCTTCTCTCTGTTCTTTCCCCAGAGAGTAGCCTGGGGTACCAGTTAGCCCTAAAGGCAGCTGGAATAGCAGGTTTGGGGTTGAAAAACTCCTCGGTGGAGAAGTGATGGCACTGGTACCTTCGTTACTCAAGCATAGCCGGCCTTGGGGACAGTAGAGAAGACCATAGTATCCAGGTATCTGCAGGGAGATGGTAGGGTGTAAGCCACAGCCTCGGGGACTCATTTAGGGCTACCTTCTAGGGAAACTGGCCCAGTCGTGGGCTAGGGAGACAATTAGGGGGAGAAAGATAGGTGGACCAGAGGCTGAAGATACAGCCCAGAGATTGCAATGCCCCAGATTTGATCCCCAGCACTGCTAAGTAAATACATATAAAAATTCAAGATTTCAAAAAGCAAACAATATTAGGCTTGGTGGTTCATGTCTGTAATCCCAGTGTATAGGGGGCTAAGACAGGATGATTGCTAAGAGGATTGCCTGGGCTAAGTAGCTAGTTCTGGGCCAGCCTGAACTACAGAGTAAGACTCTAAGAAGCTAGGCAGTAATACCAATTAATCATTTCCCAATATTTCTGCCTGTGTGCTCCGACTACTCTTAAAATTCTCACCTGGCCCAGGCTGTGGAGCTCTTTGAGTCTGAGGCCAGCCTGGTCTACAGAGTGAGTTCCAGGACGGAAACCCTGTCTCAAAAAAACAAACAAAACCAAAAAAAGAAGAAGAAAAGAAAGGAAGAAAGAAAAAAATTCTCACCTGAATAGCCTTTCCCGGAAGGCAGGGTATCCACGGTGATCCCTCCACTTGTACTTTGTACGCTCCCTTGTGTGTGCATTGATGAAGATAGCAACGGCCTGTGGGAGTCACCGAGAGCTGGCTGCCCTTGTCTTTGGAGAGCACTTGGGAGGTGAGGTTGGCAAGGAAGCATCGGCTGTAGGGATGGTAGATCTCCCCGTGGGGGTTCTCTGCTCCAGCGAGGAGTCCGTTCTCCACCTTCCAGCACTCACTCTAAAGTGTAGGGAAAATGGCAGGCTAGTATAGAGGTCGACTCTTCCTGGGCCTGCTTCCTCTGTTCTCTAGTCCACTCACCCCACTGGCTAAGGGTTTGTACATGCGGCAGCCTTCTAGCGTTGGGTCTGAGGAGCAGCTTCCCTTGTCCAGGTGCAGGTAGTGGCAGCCCAGCCCACTGTGTGGGATCGATAGTTAGAGAGAGATGACGCTGGGATCACCGACAGCTGTACAGTCCCCTGCCCACTCAACACACACCTGCGGGTGCAGAAGAAGTCTGAGGACCCGTTGCTGCATGTGCTCACCAGGCCAAATCCTACACCAGAGCCTGCTTGTGCGATAAGAAAAGAAGGCATGCGAAGACAAAACCTCAGACTGGCCACAGTGACGTACGGCTTTGATCCTAGCACTTGGGAGTAAGAGCCAGGAGGATCTCTGTTAGTTCAAGGCCAGCCTGGTCTACAGAGTGAGTTCCAGGACAACCAGAACTACTCAGCCAGACCCCGTCTTTGGGGGGGGGGGCAAAACCCCATCCCTCAGCACCAGCGCTGCTTACAGTTTGAATTACACCTTAGGAGTGAATAACTCCAGACTGTATCCTGCCCCAAAGCTGACTTGGGTTGTAAGTGTTGTGCGGCAGATCTCTCTTGCCTCTTACCCTGACCCCACAATAGCTGCTCTGCAGCGCTGTAGTTGACTTGATACCAGCCTGAATCTTCAAAGGCAGCGAGCGTTACTGGGTCAAGGCGACTGCGCTGGGCACCTTCGAAGGTAGCCGTCATCACAGAGCCCTGGAACAACCTGGACTCCCAGTGTGAAGACAGAGAGCCCTGTTGGGTAAGGCAGCAATTAGTTGGTTGCCATTTGGCTATTCCTTGTTTCTCTCATCATCCCAGGGTGTTACTCTCACCTCTTCTTCCAAAGGAGCACCCAGCAAAGCGCCCGGGACGCCCAAGTGCTTGGCTAGGCTGTGGCTAACAGCGGGGGTGCTGAGAAGCAGTTGTCCCCACTCATCTCGCCTTGTCACTTGTCTCCTTGTTGAACAGTTCTCTCTGGCTGGCTTCGAAAAAGGAAAACTTAGGAAGGGTGGTGAACTCCCCCTGGTTGACTTTACAGGAAGCTCACTCCCTCGTTCCTCCCGCTTACCACTGAGTTCTGAGGGGCAATCCCGCCATTTCTTGAAGAGCTCTCCAGAAAAACCCAGTGCGTGGAGCAGCTCATGTAGCGTACCCTAAGAACAAGCAATTGCAGAGTGTGTGTGTGGGGGGGGGCTGGCTCTGTAGCAGGACTCTAGACCCTCTTGCATAACCAGCTCTCTGTAGAGCCTAAGGCATCTCCTGTTCCACCTTCACTAGGGACTTCCTGGGAGACTGCCACCCCGGCCCCATCCCCCGCATCCATCATGCAGTAGTCACCATGGCAATATCACTATGGCTGAGGCTGGGGCTGGTGAGATGTTGGGCACAGTAGACAATGGTACCAGCAAGGGGCCTGTCTTCTGAGTCCAGCTGGCAGCAGGCGGCATAAGCTATGACAGAGGGCTGCAAACAAGAGAAGGTAGCACAGAAAGGGGGAGAGGGAGGCAGTACAGCTGGACGGAGCCTTTCTGAAAATGGAGCTGCTTCTATTTCCATACCCCTCCTTACAAAACTTCAGATTAAGAGAGGGAAAAGGGGTGGTCTTGGAACCTCACCTCTTTGTGACACTTGGAAGTGTGGGCGACCCGCACATACAGGAGAAAATCGGTGTTTTGGACTCCGGGGCCATCTGGTTGGATCTGCTGGGGCAGACCATGCTCTGGCCACACGGAGTAACCGCGCAGATGGGCATCAGGTATCTGTCAGGGAATGAAATCTCGTATACACTTAGCAGATGGATGGAAACTGGAAGCTAGGAGGAAGGAGATAATGTGGGCTGTCTCAGTACCAGTCGAGGTACCAATTGGAACTGATTGCTAGCTGAGTGTGTATAGCTCAGAGCACCTAATAGCACATGGCAAGACCTGGGCTCAAATTCAGTTAAAAAAATCCAAACAAACCCAGAGTTGTGCCCCTAGCCACCAGAGCTCTGCTTTAATGTATCTGAGGAGAGTTGGCAGAAAGAAACTAAGGAATGTACATCATTATGAAGAACAGGACAAGTTCACGTATCTGAGATCAGTTCCTTTTGTGTGCTGAGGTATTAGGGAAGTCTAAGTAGGTTAGAGACCTTCAGATCCCTAAAACTGGTGACTTGCTCTCACCTTTGCCCCGAGGCAACTCTCTCCTTGGTATCCTGGGTTCAAGAGGCTACACCTGTCCAAAAAAAAAAAAAAAAGTATAGAAATGAGCTGGAGACATTTTCTAGATGTCTTTGAAGAAGACATTAACAGTGACACGCTCACCTGTGGTAGTTTGGAGTGTCTGGGTCTCCCCAGAGGGCATGGCAGTATCGTGTGGGGTCCCGACTCAGAAGCAGAGGTCCTTGTACTGGGGTGACTTGAGACAAGGGGACATTTTCATCTCATCATCTGAGTTCAATTCCTTTTCTGTGATGGACTCTTTTGTCTTGGACCTCTCTGCCCCTCAGCCTTCCGTGACCATTCCTGGCTCCTCACTTACCTGCAAGGATACTCTGAATTCTTCGAGTGGTCTCTCTCAGTGCAGCCAGGGCTCGAGATGCCCCTCTCATTTCATCCGCATCAGGAGCCCAAGCTTCATTGGATACGGGATCTCTTGTATAGTAGGTCTGGATTCTAAGGGGTTGAGGATCATGGGAGTCAGGGAGAGGAAGGATTGAGGAGCGGGAGTGTATGGGCGTTTGGGAGAAGTGGGGCCTGAGAAGGCGCACAGTCTTCTGGGTCTTGTCATGCAGACATCTGCTTGTGGCTACCCCAAGGAGGAGTAGCAGCTGCATCTTCACTCTGTGTCTCCACGGCCAGCCCTGGGTCCTGCCCGCTGTGGCCAGGTCTCGCATTTCCCTTCTCTCTGTATTCTCTCTCCACACACCCGGAACCATTCTCGCTTGCTCTCTGAGGAGCTGGAAGTTGTTAACTAAGTCTCCTTTCCTACTAGGAGGTAGGATATGGACCACAAGGACTAGGGCTGTCTCCTCTAGGGTGCCAGAGGTGGAGAGCTGGGGAAGTGTGACTCCGAATCTTCAGTTTACTTTCCCAGAGAGGGCCTACCCCACTTTCTCAGTGGGAAGTCTTGAAGTCTCCCCCAAGACCACAACGAAAACGTGGAGGCGATGGATGAGGGATGCCAGGGGGCAGTCGTTTTTGTTTTTGTTGTTTTTCATGGATGCCTGACATCTCCTTGGAGGTGAGCAAACAGGTCTTGCCCTTTACTGGGCCAGCCTCTCACTAGGCTGTGAGACTTTCAGGAATGTTCTGCACCTGTGTAGTACTGCCAGCTGGTACACAGCAAAGAAACCAACCAGTACCTCCTCCTCTGGGAGGCTGTGAGCTAGGCCTGAGAACCCGCTCATTCACTGACAGGAGGGGAAAAATAACTGTCAAGATGGGCGTAATAGAAGTTCAAAGATATTCTGTGGGAACTATTGGAGCCCTTTGTTTCCTCGGCTCCCACTGTGCCTTTCTGAACTGCTTCCCCTGGTTGGCCACACTTCCTCCCCGTGGGCTAACCCCCACCTTTCCTGTAGTTACTCTGGGAAGTCTTTCTTAACATCTCCAGCCCAAATTCCACACCCAGAGGTGGGAGGGAACATTTACAGGAGCTCCCTGACCTTCCTTGTACCCCTCACAAGACCTGCTTTTCTCTGAGTACAGGCACAGGCTCTTCCTGCTCGCAGAAACTCCAAGAAGCCTACTTCCTGCCAGGTCTTATGAGTGCCTAACTCTATTATTTTAGCTTCTTTTCTCTGTTATGTAGTTAAGGCCTCTAACTTGTGACCCTTTTGTCTCTGCTTCCCAAGTGCAGAGATTACAGCCTAGCACCTTCGTGTCTGCTCCACTGATTCACTTTGAAGGCAAGGGATATAGTCACATATGGTAAAGCAGAATATCTAATTAATGACAGGGAAGGATTAGAGTCTATTCTTTTTTTTAATATTTATTTATTTATTATGTATACAATATTCTGTCTGTGTGTATGCCTGCAGGCCAGAAGAGGGTACCAGACACCATTACAGATGGTTGTGAGCCACCATGTGGTTGCTGGGAATTGAACTCAGGACCTTTGGAAGAGCAGGCAATGCTCTTAACCTCTGAGCCATCTCTCCAGCCCCTAGAGTCTATTCTTATTTTTATTTTTTTTTTGGGGTGGGGAGCAGGATCTCACTGTGTAGCCTTGGCTAGCCTGAAACTCTCTACGCAAACCAGGCTAGCCTGGAACTCACAGAGATCTTCCTGCTTCTGCCTCCTGAGTACCAGAGTACTGGGACCAAAGGTGTGCACCAGCACAACCCGCTCAGGACCAGAGTATAAAGGGAACTTCTGGATTCTCTGGGAAAACGAATACAGGCGGGGTTTCTCTGTGTAGTCTTGGTTGTCCTGGAACTCTTTGTAGACTGCGCTGGCCTTGAGCTCAGAGATTCTCCTGCCACCACCGCCCAGCCCTGTTTACGTCCTTTTGACCAAGTGCTCTAGCGTTCCCATTTTAAGGATGAATATACTTAAGGGACTGCTACAGGGGGGTAAGCGAGGAGCTGTAAAGCGCTAGCAGTGCCCAGGGCACGAGACAGCTCAGCAGTTCAGACAGTGGCTCTCACCCTTCCTAATGCTGGGACCCTTTTTTTTGGGGGGGGGGGAGCTTTAATACAGTTCCTCAAGTTGTGGTGACCCACAACCATAAAATGATTTCGTTGCTACTTCATAACTGTAATTTTGCCACTGCTACGAACTGTAATGTAAACATCTGATAGCAGGATTCCTGATTCCCAGCTCCCATGTCAGGTGCCTCACAACCATCTGCAGCTCCAGCTCCAGGGCTAACCAGGGATTCTGGCCTCCAATGGCACTCGTGAGCAAGGAAATACTATATATTATGAGGAGGAGAAGGCTGCAGTCAGAATGAAAAGAAATACATTTTTAAAAAGAATATATATTATACGGTCTAGGGCAAGGTCCTGTTTTCACTTTCACCAGAAGAAAATAAATCACACGCACACACACACACACACACACACACACACACACACACACGCTGAAAACTGAATTTAGAATTTAAAAGATTATTATTATTAGGTGTACAGGCTTGAAGGGACTCTTTTTCTTTGTCTAAGACAAATACAGATTTCTCCAGCTGCCTGAAGACCTTTCATCTGAAAAAACAACAACAACAACAACAACAACAAAACCAAACAAACCAAAAAGCTCCCACTGAGTAGTATTTGTGTGATGGCTTCAGCAGGCTTGGCCCATTTCTGGCCGTTCTCCGCAGCCACTCCTGTTCTTTGCTGCCCCCTTGTGGCCGTGCTGGGAGAGACCTTACCCTGCTGGAGTAGGGGCTGTCCTTACCGTCACAAAGGCTGTGGGAGTGGAGGGTGGAACTTGCTCCGCCCCAGCAGAAGAAACACAGGGACACCTTATTTTTCCTGCACTGCGTGCCTATAAGTAGTTTATATGACACCTCTCAGATCAGACAGAGCCTACTGTAGAAGACAGTGAACTAGGGCCTACTGTCAACCCTGCACGGAAACGCCTGGAAGAAAAATTTCTTGCCCCGGCTTTGCTCCAGATCCAAGCTGTCCACCCACTGGGGTTTTCTTTATTCCCCAGAGAAGAGAACATTTAATCTCCCCCGTTCCCCCCCACTGGGTTTCACTGTCGTTTTAGAGCCTGTCCTGGAACTAGCTCTTGTAGACCAGGCTGGCCTTGAACCCACAGAATCCACCTGCCTCAGCCTCCCAAGTGCTGGGATTAAAGGCGTGCGCCACCACCGCCTGGTGAGAACATTCATTGTCTTCCAACAACAATTATTTCTCATCTTTAAAAACAGGTTTTTGTTTGTTTATTTGTTTGTTTTTCTCAGACAGGGCTTCTCTGTGTAATAGTCCTAACTGTCCTGGAACTCACTTTGTAGATCAGGCTGGCCTGCCTGCCTCTGCCTCCCAAGTGCTGTGATTAAATGAGTGTGCCATCACTGCCTGGCCTTTTTTTTTTTTTTTAAGAAGCTATCACTTGAACTCAGGATCCTCCCAGCTCTTTTCTTTGAAATTCAGTGCTGCAATCACTTTTAAAATGCATTACTATGCCCAATTCTATATATTTTTTTTTACACATTTAGTCTTTCTTTCTTTCTTGTTTTTTTTTTTTTTGTTTGTTTGTTTGTTTGAGACAGGGTTTCTCTGTGTAGCCCTAGCTGTCCTGGAACTAGCTCTGTAGACTAGGCTGGCCTCGAACTCACAGAGATCCGCCTACATCTGCCTCCCGAGTTAGTCTTCCTTTTTAAGCTTTATCTATTTTATGTGTATAAGTGTTTTACCGCCCTGTGCATGTGTCCCCTGTCCCCTGGAACTGGAGTTGCAGGTGATTGTGAGTGTGGAGAATGAACTCAGGTCCCCTTGCAAGGGGCGCAAGTGCTCTTAGCTACTCTTCATGAAACCTCTTCATTGCCCCAGCTCCATCTTGACTTTTGTGAGCCTGTGCTTTTCTACCAGACTTCAGAGAGAAATAGTCTTACTCATCTCTTTGAAGGCGTGTGAAGTAACTATGGAGGATGAGGCAGGAGAAGGAGGTGAGGAGTTACGCTAACAGCCATCGTCACAGCAAGCACATTTCATGTCCTGACATTGTTCCAAACATTGTATACCCCTATGAGTCTTCCAGAAACCTTAGGAGGATTAGGTATCATTGCCATTATCTCAATTTTACAATCTAGGCACAACAAAATTAGGCAATCAAATAATTGTGTAGGATTCCAACTCTAGACTCCTCATCATACCAACTATATAGCATGACTTCTCAAATTCACCCAGAGAAGCAGAGGTTACATTAGGATGGAAAGAGAGACAGGAGAGACAGAGGAGAAAAGGTGGTGACTGGGGCTGGAGAGATGGCTCAGTGGTTAAGAGCATTGTCTGCTCTTCCAAAGGTCCTGAATTCGATTCCTAGCAACCACATGGTGGCTCACAACCATCTGTAATGCTGTCTGGTGCCCTCTTCTGGCCTGCAGGCATACACACAGATGGAATATTGTATACATAAGAAAAGGTGGTGACCAGAGGGAAGGTGGTAAGACAGGGGTGAGGAATTGGAGACAAGAGGTTGGAGGATAACGGAGGAAATACGAGGGCGCACAGTTAACACTGGTGGTGGCATTGCCGCGGTGGCGTCACCGGGTGGTGCTCTGTCCAGCAGGCACTCTGTCAGATCCTTTGCCCCTCCACCTCTAACATTCTTTTCCTCCATTCCACTCAAGTGAGATAGTCCCAGGCTGTGCCCAAAGCCTTATCATCGCTAGAAACTGAAACATCTACGAAATAACGGAATCAAACACCCCTCTCTGATATGATCTCTTTTCCTTAGGGTTCGTTGCTAGGTTGGCTCACTGCAGCTGTTGGACAAGCTGGCTGGGAAACGGTGACCCTTCTTTTCTTTAGTCTCCCCTTCTCTGCCTTCGGGTGTAGACTCTCTGATGAAGTTCTTTCCTGAACCTCTTCAACTCCTCCCCTTAGCAACTGGGATTTGTTGTTGTTTGTTGGGTTTTTGTTTTGTATTTTGGAGACAGGGTTTCTCTGTGTAACATCCCTGGCTGTCCTGGAACTCACTCTGTAGACTAGGCTTCCTGGGTGCTGGTTTAAAGGCATGCATACTATTGTCTGGCTGCAACTGGGATTTTATACCTCCCTTCATGCTGAAGCCTCTCCTGCAGCTCAGCCACTTTTAGGGGCTTCTTCTTTCTTTCTTTTTTTTTTTTTTTTCACAATGAAAAATAAAAGCTCCACGATAGGAACATCCTCTGTCTACTACAAGTCTTTTCATTGTTTTAAGATGGGGGTCTTGCTATGCTGACAGACTGGCCTCAAACTTACTATTGTCCCTTCTTAGCTAACCGAGTGCTAGGATTGCAAGTTTGCTTCACCATGCCCAGCCAAAGCTATTTTTAAAAATTATCACTAGTTTTGGTGTTTTGAGACAGGGTCTCACTATGTATAATCCCTGGCCTTGAACTTGCTAAGTAGACCAGACTGGCCTCAAACTCATAGAGATCCTCTTGCCTCTGCCTCACGAATGCTGGGCTTAAAGGTATGTGTCTTCATGCCCAACTC